GGCACAAGGGAGAAACAAACAGAAGCAGATCTGCGTAGCCCTGTACAATGTCAAATTTTCAATTTACAATGGGTACCATGGTGTTCTGCCCTGCCACCTATGCAGAACAGTCTTTTATCTAAGGGAACATAATTTTCACTGTTGTGGATTGTTGGGTTCGGTTTTTTGGGTTTTTTGTTTGGTTTTTTTTGTTTGTTTTTTTTTTTTAATACACCTGTTTTACAAAGCAAGCACCAGACAGGGCCAGCTCTCACTGAAGTAATAGCATTTAGCTACTTTTACAAATGCAAATCACATGGATAACAGAGAGCAAATAAAGGGGAGCCTGTATTCAACATGCAAAGGATGTGTCCAATTAACAGAAAGCAGGCCACAGAATCTCTACAGATGATACATTTTAAAACATAGATCATTCATTTCTTACCGGGGGGGGGGGGGAGGTTTTAGCATGCAAGAAAAACTGCACATTTCAGATTTATGATTTACGTTGTTGTCAATAAAATAGCTTTCCAATTATCAAGGCCCTGGTAGGAGAAGCTGGAATGCATTATGTGTTAATGATCACAACCAGGGGTCCAAGCTTTACTCTTTTGTCAGAGCCATAGCAGATCCTCCCCGCAGCTTCACCATTAACATGTCTGTTTCCTGTCAGACCACTCAGAGATAATGTCATTTATCTCAGGGCGGCACAAGACCAGTCATTAGCTTCAGTAAAAGACCTCAAACAAAGGCCGGATGGCGTTTTATCCAGGGCTGGTAGGCTGCAGCCAAGAATCTCATTGCCTAACAGTTCGGAACTTAAGTTATCTTTAAAAGAGTAATTTTCCCCCTATCAACAATTCTAGAACACTTCTCTGAAGAGCAGAAAAGTCTCTGCATGGAAAATTTTAGTCAATGGTTTTATCATATGCAATTAGGTGACTGATAAGAGCTGGCTAAAGTTATCCTTTGAGAGGCTTGCTTGCTTCCCCCCCCCCCTTTTTACCTCTTAGGGAAAAATTGTCAGAATAATTCAGGTTCTACCTAAATAGTAAGACCTTTGAAGAACTGACCCTTACTGTGTTTGCCTGCAGGAGGTGATTCACTATTATAAATTCTTCAATGACTGAGCTTCTGGAAATCTCTTTAAATGAAAGTGGAACTGGTTAACTGTATGTACGAACATGTGTTTTCACAGTCTCTCCTGTATTACTGCATTTCAGAACGCTTCTATAAAGTGCCAGGTGAACTTTTTTAAATAATGATAATAATAATAAAAAAAAGAGAGAGTCGAAAAAATATGAGCAAATCTCAGCCATTCAATTCCTGGGTTTATGTTTAAAACTAGGAACAGATGGTACTTTCCATGTTCCTTGAATCTGGTTATTGAACACCTCTATGGTTACGGGAGATTTTGCTTAGCACTTTTAACATACATTTCATTTATTGGACTATAAAATGCTACTTTGGAAAAACAAGTCTTTATATAGCTATAATTAAAACAGTCTTGCAGCAAAGCCCTTTAACATGGAGAACATGGTTAACCTCATGACATCTGGACAATCAATCCTTTCCTTTTTACTGGGTATTTATGAAGTTATTAAAATTGTAAAATTACCGATGCCCAAAGTGAAATACTTTTCCAGTAGTTCCGAATAAGGTTATCAGCTTCCCTACTTTATTTTATAAACGTTCTAGAGCAGCCTCCATTTGGCTACACCAGCTCTTGCTTTGCACGGGAATTCAAAGGGCTGGTCATACATATTGGCAGAGGTCAGCAGGTTCACACGGAAAGCTTTCCTCTGCCAAAGGGCAACACCTCTTCACCCAGCTCAAAAAGCACCGTCACACTACTAGACAGCACTACAGAACTTTAAGAACCTTGAGCTGTGCTTATTGTTAGACACCCATAGTTATCAATGTTTTTAACAGCTAAATCCCTTATGTAGCTTTCAAAACAGTTTGCTGTCAAACAACAATAGACTTTGTTCTTTAATTACAGCAAGTGACCTCCCTGCCCTTTTATTTCACAGTGAATAAACTACACCCAAGGCCAGCGAGAAAAGTACATGAAAAGCATATCTCCATAACATCATTAATCAAAGCATGTACTTAAATGATTTACATCAATAGGTAAAATGTACACAGAGTTTCCTGATGAAGTGTAAAACAACATCAAGCCCTCTATTAAAAAAAAAGTAAAGACAAAATAAACAATACCAGCATGTGAATTTACTGAAGACAACTTTCAGATGTGAGATGCAGTCTTAATGAGAAGCAATAAACTAATACAAGGGAAAAATTAAATCCTGGAATATCACTAGACTGATTCATTTAAAAACTGCAGCTAGACACCTCTGATTATAGCTTTGTATCTTGTGTATTATTTTCACATAAACATACTGATTTTCACATGCCAAATACAATTTTCCCATATCTCAGAGTAAATTGTGTCTGTTTGAATCCCCAAATCTCCCTGCAACACACACAAAGCAAATTCTTCTAGATAATCTGAACACTTTTCAATGAAACAGCTGTTAAAAAATACAAAAAAAAACCCCAAAACTTAGCTAAAACAGATGAAGAGTTCACGCTGACAAACAAGTCAGTAACTGCTAAAAATGGTATGGATGAGAAATGGAAAATGGAGACAGGTTTTAACACCAAAAATCTTAGGAGTGGTTAGCCTACCTGTCAAAACTACTTATTCAGACATGTCACTGATGGCTTAACCACAAAACGGGCTGCACGAATATAGCTCAAACATCTTAGAATTACAGCATACTTTGACTTATCCACATATTAGGGGAGTGGCGACTTTTACAACATACTTGCGGTTTCTGCATAAAAGAGCCGGCAGAACAGAGTCATTGATTTAATTAGGCTTCATGAGATCCAATTTATCATGTTTTACATGACTTTCTGCAGCAAGGAAACAGAATAAATAGACCAAAAATAGACATTGAAGCATGCTGTGAAAGCTGAACAGTGACTACAACTCCTGGGAATCTGCTCCAAGCTCTTCACAAATAGTAAACAAATGCAATATTATATTCCACACCACATACCAAAACCTGTAGATTTTGAATCAGCAGGCATGAACTCATTTGTATCTCAGACAAAACATTCAAATTCCTAAGACATGTCTTTTACAACATCAAGATAACTAGAAATTGATTTTAACATGCAGGCTTGAAAATTATATATTTATCTACAGACACAAGGTGCTTTGTGCAAGTACAGCATGTGTGTTCTAGTGTATAAATAGTCAAAGCAAGAACACTTAACAAATCTAAAACCTTTAAAAAAAAAAAAATCTTTCTAATGATTGTTAAACATTTGGGAAAAAAGCCAGAAGAACAAACATAAAGCACTTAAGTTTGACTAACAGTACCACAGGCTGGTTTTAAGGTTGCAACCATTGTAGGCAATGAGGTTTTATTATGGTATGTCTAGAAGGGATCATTCTTTGGGAAGAGAAATACTAAGGGATGTTACTTAGGACAGCAAGCAAGCACGCCATTGTGCCAGACAATGGCCAACACTGCACGACTCTAATGTGCGAAGCCTATATTAAACTCGGTGTGTGCCAACAGCAGTGGCTGTTACTGGAAATGCAAGCTCCAAACCTCCTCCTGGAGCAACAACTACAACACAAAGTGTACCACTGGCTCTAAACTGCTCCATACATGTTTGCTCTCTATTTGCATGCCATCTCATTTACATCGCATGTAAAATCACTTACATGTATATGGCTTCTTCATACAATTTCCTGTGTCACTAGAGAGTGAAAAGATCACAAAAAAAGGAAGAAACCACACCACCCTCTAATCTCTGTTGCCATGACAGCAGTCTTTGAGATACTGAAATGTTCAGATTGCCAGCTAAACAAAATTGTTGAATGTGAACATTTGGCTGAGAGATTAAAAGGCTAAGGGGGTTGCAAAAGGGCAGTACCTCCCACATTCCAGGCAGCCACTGAATCCAATCAAATGGCTCTGACTCTTTAACCACAGCCATTGTGAAGACCGGATTAGGGCAATTTATCTAGATAGTTAAAACAGATTAGAGAACTGCAATTTGAAGACTATTGGCAACAGAAGTAAATGCCTACTGTACTAAGTTAATAAAGAGACCATGAGATTTTAGGACACCTTTCCACCACGAACAGAACTTTCATAAATCAAAGCTCAAACACACACACATGAATCACAGCAATCTAGTTTTCTCATCTACATTTAGAAAAGGTTGCAAGGCTCATTCAAATTCAGCCATAGATATGCTATCTTAAAAGCAATAATATGCATACAATATGAAATTTCATTTCTTTGCCTTGAACAGAAGCCCTTGAAATTATCTTCCAGTTTTAACAAATATCTGATGTCATGAACACCCAAACCTAATCCTCCAGTCAACTTAAGTATTACAAAAACTTCAACATGACCGAAATACAAAAAAAGCCAGTAATGGGTCGTAAAAAAGACATAACTTTTCCCTGAGACCTTCAGCCCTAGCAGGCGCTTGCAGACCATACAGTTAACACTGACCCGAAAGTTTTCCCATCACTGAAGACTCACACAGGGAAGTTGTAAAAGCAGGTCATTTAAGACCAACAGCTGACAAAAAAAATCACAATCTAACACCCTGAGATTGTTCATGTAGGGAGTGTTGGTTTGCTTTACTTTTTCAGGCAGATCAGGTTATCTTTGTTTAACAACCTGTAGAATTCATTGGACTCATAATCCTGGGTGAACACTCGCCCCCAGGTCCCCCAGAAGACGCCTTCTGCCCTACGGACAGAACAATTCCTGCCAACACCAGAACCTCCTTGAACCAGCGGTTAACAAAAGCCAAGCTCTCCCTCCACCCTTCCCAAAGAATAGCATCGTGGCCATCTATTCTTAGAGAAAGCATCCTTCGTAAGGTAGTAGAAAAAAACCCAACACACACCCCATCTGATTTCTTTCATACATTTCAACCACTCAACAAATGAGTAGTTCACATCCAAGAACCAGCGGGGCTCAGATACGAAAGCTCCCCCAGACAGGAGACAAACTGCTCCCCTCTGTTCCCAAAGCTGTTTTGCACACACACAACTCAGCACAAGGTGCATTCCCCTCCTCCCAGCCGCCTCCTTCCAGGAGGACGAGAGGCACCGCCTGTCTGCTGGCTCCTTCCTCCCCGTCCTCCACACCAGCCTCTGAGGCCTCTGGGCTGCTGTACCGCGTGAGCCCCCGGTGCGATAAGCATCCTGTGTCTCCACGAAGCGCTACGGCGGAGCCTGGGGTCTCTGCCGATGCCTCCTGTTTCCCCCCCACCAAGCACCATCTCAACTCCAGGCAGCGGGTCCCAGGAGAAGGGAGAAGGGTCCGTTTAGACTTTGGGAGAGGAACAGCCGCGAATGCCCACCAGTGCTGTGGAAAATTGTCAGCACATACAAGACCTGCTGCTCCTGGAGCCTGAGTTACGCACCCCCCTAGGCAGTCACACAGACCTCTAGCCTGCAAACACGTGCCATCCCACTGGTACCAACACTGCTGGTCTCCGCTAAAACCAGGGACAGCTCAGTCAGGGACGTCTCGGGGGTTCTCCTTCTGGGTGAACGCGATCAAAAGGAACAGACAAAACAGAAACGTTCTCCAGGTCTGAGGACAGGGAGGGGAAATCCTGAGGAAGAACAGCACACTCATGGTGTCTTCTGTCTAGGGAAGAAGTCTTGGGGTTGTTTCTTTTATTTTTAAGAGAAAGAGGAAGAACAGATGCATGTCACAAATACACAGCAGAGAGTAGGACACAGGAGCCAAACACACAGTTGTGGGACATTTATTATAGACATAGAGGGAGACACGGAAGAGAAGAGGTGGAGAGGAGCTTTGTCCTACCTTTTCTGTTTTCAATTTCTTGATTCGCCTGTGGCTCTCCTCCTCCTCCTCTTCCTTCTTTACCAAAATAGAGTTCCCCATTAACCCTGAATCCGGGGTACTTTTGTTCACCTCCCCCATGGCAGAGGAGGTGCAGTGGAAGGGGCTGCTGCTTCCACCACCGCCTCCCTTGGCCCCGAAGCCATAGAGATGCCCAGGGGGAGTTTGGCTGCTGCCACCCCCGCTGCCGTTGGGGTGGCCCTGCTGCAGGTCATGCTGCTTGTCCTTCCTGGATTTTCCTGCATCCTTATCCCGCTTGGAGCCTCTGCTGCCCAGGGCTTTACCTGGTTTCTCCTCTTTGTTTTTCCCACAAGAGGCAATGGTGGTGGTGGTGCTGGTGGTATTATTATTGCCGTTTGGGTTACTGCTCACGCTTTGACCCAGTGCTGAATTCATGCCAGTTGCCTCTCCAGGGCGCCCTTGGACTTCCTGCCTCTTGCCAGCACTGCTGATCTCAGGAATCCCATACAAGGCAGCAGAAGGCAGAGATTTATTAGCATCCTTAGAAGTTTTACTCCTTTTCACTTTTGATTTGCTAGTCTCTTTGTGAGAGGAATTCCCCTGGGGAGCAGAGGGCTGAACAGAAGCAAATTTTAGGCCATCAGCTAAGGCTGAGGTAGCATTAGCCCCACTGGAAGCCAGACCCCCGCAATCCTTGGAGCTGGTGTTGCTGCTGCTGGTGGTATTAGTAGAATTATTCATTTCAAATTTCTGTCTGTCCTTCTCCAAATCGGCGTCCAAATCAATTATTAAATTCCCAACACCGATTTCCCAGTCATCGCCACTGTCATAAGTGTCAACCGCGTTTGGATCCACACCTTTTCCTGCAGTGGAAGTGTTCAATGACATCCTGAAGATGAGATCTCTAGAGTAAAAATCCGATGAACTTTCCTTTGGAGATGTGGGGACATTCGTTTATCTCCGTTGGGCTCTCTTAAGTTCAACTCTTCTTGTCTTCCTCCCTTAGGTGTGTCTAGCTTCAAAACCTGCAGTCCACGTCCGCCTTGTCCTGTGAGGAAGGGAAAAGTCGAATATTTCTTGTCTGGGTGTTACCAGAACATAATACGACTAAAAAAAAAAAAAAAAAAGGGGCGAGGTAGGGGGAGCGAAATCATTCACTGTTGCCACGTTTTTTTTCTTAAGTTTGTTAAACCGGAGGCAATGGCCGTGATGCTTTTATAGTGAGCATCTTTAATCTAGTTGTATACCAATATCCACAATTGCTCTTAAAAAGTCACGTCCACAAAAAAAAAGAAAAAGAAAAAAACCCCCAAAACCTCAATTAACTACATGATTTAAATCCACAAAGCTCAGGAAATACAGTCTTAGAAGTGGTGCCTAGCTGTTGGAGCACATGTTGTAATCTAACCCCTTGGACCACCACCTAGGCACGAAAGGGAGAAAAGGAAGGACACAGATTCACTCTTCACTGCATTCCATGGATTTTGTGGCTTTAAACCAGACCCTTGAAGTTTTGTGACTCTCCTATATTATCTTCTACCCTCCTTCCACTTAATCTCTTGGGGGGGGAGAGGGAGCGCTAAGGGAAGTGGGAAACCTAATTTTCCTTGCCACAATACAGCGTCAGTTAAAAACCAGTAACCTACAAACACAAACGTTTACTGGAAAATATTAAACTTCATTGGTTACAAAGAGAAAAAGAAGAAAATAAATAAAAAGGTCTTTTTTCTTTACAGAAAAATATTCTCACGATAACAGTTCTAAAAGCAGTTCTAATGTACTCCTAGGTCACACAATTGCTAGGTCTGTTAAATATAGTATTACTGACTGTACAGGAAACTGATTAAGACATACACTTTAAGTGATCTGCACCAAGGTGGCCTCAGTGACCGCAAATGAGTGTGTGTTTGACAAAGCTTAGTTAAAACGATTTTTAAAGGGATCTCTCCCTTTTACAGTCGACTGTCGAAATATTTATATACATATATATGCATAATGCTTACCTTTAATCCTTTATCATTTTTTAATTAAACCAGCAAATCAAAATGCTGTTCCCACTCGTCTCAGCAACAACTCTGTGCCTCATTTTACTTAAAGAGCAAGTGATCAAGAAGTAGAAAGCAAGTATCATCTCAGCCAGTATAAATCGGTCAATAACATATCTCCCCCTACTTTGGCACACGGATCAGAAGTCCTTTTTTTTTGTTTGTTTAGGTTTTTTTTCCTCCTTGCTAAAAAAAAAAAAAATTAAAAAATTTAAAAATGCTGAGCCTCACAACTTTACCAGCTGGTAGGTAATATTTCACATTCAGACATTCAGAACTGAAGCATCAAGGACCAGATTTTTGTTTGTTTGCTTTTCCTGAATAAGCACCGAGAGGTAATAATCATCACAGTTATTTAAAAAAAAAAATAAAAAAAAAATTGTTTCCCCAACTTCACACTCCGTCTTCAGCCCCGGACCTGGGAGCCATCCTG